TCCGATGGTCTTAGGCGACCCCTGTGAAAGGGTCGTTCGACCCCCAAAGGGGTTGCGACCCACAGGTTGAGAACCACTGCCTTAGAGGAAGCAGGGGGAAAATCTACTTCCCAACAGCATCAAACATAGGGCAAATAACCCATGTGGAAATGGAGATCACATTGAGAAAGTAGCTGGCTGTAAGTGATCTTCTATTCTGTTCAAATACTTGAAAACTAGGAAATAAAATAAAAGGACTTGAGAGGAGCTTGACTAAATCAGTGCAACTGTTCAGTTCTCCAGTTAGTGAGATCTGACTTTAGGGGGGGAAACTTAGAAAAATGGCTTTCAAATTTTGCTTTTAAAACGAGAATATAGCACTGTGTTATTTCTGGATCCTTCCCTCTACGTTTTGATTAGTGTTATACTTCTAGGAAAATGTATATGAAAAACAATCTGGAGAGTGTGGCACAGATCTGTTAGGATGTTTACTTTTACTTAGATATGAAAAAGTATCGGAGCTTAAAAAAAACTGTAAAAGGAGAGGCTGAAAGGATTTAGGCAGAATATAATTCATCAGATCGAAATCTTTCTCCACAAAAAGTGTCACAACTCGCTATACATTTGCATAGTAAATGCTCTTAGTGTTCTAAGTACTCCATAGTAACAATCACAGCTCCCGTTCTGGAAAAAAATTCTTTACATTGGCATGAATTTCTGCCATCACAATCATGGGAATTAATATCCATGTGCCTCTTCATTTTCTGTTTGCACTGTTTTTAGTTTTGCAGTCCTAATCGTATTGCATTGGTTATTGGGTGTCATATGCTGTCTGGACAGGGGAAACTTTTTTTAAAAGAACTTATTTTACTGTCAAAAACAGAAATAGAGAGGAGAGTGTGCGCCCTCTCTGTCTTTGTTGTAATCTCAAGTAAAGTGAGAGAAAGAGACTTCCCTACTAATTTATCTATATTAAGGCAAAAGTCAGGATTCACTTGCAAGCACCACTACCTACACTCTTAAGCTCTTCTGTAGCAGGCGGTCTAATTAACATTTTGCCACATTGGCAGCCCCATCTGGAAACTACTATTCAACCACCCACATTAATACCCGAGCTTTTCCTTTTCCCTTAATTAAAATGCTGTCAGAACACTTCGCTCATGAAAGAACTTCCTGAAGTTAATGGTTTTATAGCAAGGTGAAGAAAAATGCATGGAAACCAGTTCTGCTATTCTGCAGGGAAGTGCAGCTTTCTTTTCATCTCAGGTTTAGACAGGTGAAATTAGTTATTTTTTCTGGTCTAAGAAGAAAAAAAGTGGGCACGGAAGTTCTAAGAAATGTTTATATTAGAGCATTTCTAATTTAACTGTGCAAAAGTTTGCTCTATGAAGTAGGTTCACCAAGTGGCGGCGGGGGATCCGCATGTCTTTACAGGATCCCTGCTGCGGGGACGGCGATACGCCAGGATGTGCCAAACAGCCCCGTTGCCAGAGCAACGCATAGCGTCACATCCCGGCGATGGCGGTTTAACGCGTATCGCCATCCCCACGGCAGGGATCCTGTAAAGACATGCGGATCCCCCGCCGCCACTTGGTAAGCCTACTATGAAGTCTGATAGCATCAAAAATAAATTCTAATCAGGGATCCAAATATTCACAGTTTGCTCTGTGAAACAGTCTGTAAGTTTTTCTTCTCGTTGAACTGGGTTAGAACTAGGGTTGCCAGTCTCCACATGGTGGGCTGGTGTTCTCATGGAAGTAGAGCTGACCTCCAGACAGTCCCCCTGGAGAAATTACAACTCATCAATTCCCCTGGAGAAAATGGCAACTTCAGAGGGCAAAATCCAGGGCTTTTTTTGTAGAAAAAGCCCATCAGGAACTCATTAGCATAATAGGCCATACCCAACTGCAGGAACTCATTAGCATATTAGGCCACACCTGTGAAAGCACATCTCATTAGCACATTAGGCCGCACCCCCATGTTACCAGAAGTGTGGTCATCCAGCCACACCCACCTTTTGCTTCTTATTCTCTTTACCTTGTTTGTTGTCAAAACCCAGGGCTTTTTGCATGTTAGGCCACACACCCCTAATTGTAGCCAATCCGAATGAGTTTCTGCTGTTGGGTGTGGCCTATTATGCTAATGAGTTCCTGATGGGCGTGGCCAACTTGGGAGCCAGCTGGAACTCCGTTCCTGTGCGTTTTTGCCCAAAAATAGCCCTGGCAAAATCTATGGTATACCATAGATTCTGGGTGAAATGCCTCCCCAGTTCCTACTCCACAGGCACTGCCCCCAAATCTCTAGGCATTCCCCAGATCAGAGTTAGCAGCCCTAGGCAGAATGGAGCTTTATTAACTTTGATCCCAGTAACCTAAAGCTATTTCGCTCCTGAAAATCCATCCCCAGATGACTATAAATCAGGTAATGAATCTTTATCTTTGACATCCTGCTCCTCACATACAACAAAGATGAGGATTTCATCTTTCTTCATGTTACCCCAAATGCCATGCTTTTTAATGGAGTCATCTCATACGTTCAGCAGCAGTCATCAAGGGCTTGATCCAGCCTAGTGTAGGTGTAGCAGCTATATGCAGAGGATCCTCGTAGGGCACAGCAAACATCTAAAGTATATGGAAGCAAGCTACTGAACAATGAATAGTCCTTAAGACTCTTTGCTACTTTGACTATGATTGCTTCCACACAAACATTTTGCTTCAATTTGATATCTAAACAGTGTTTTGTTATTTCAGAGCATCCACATAACATTGTCCCTAATCATTTACCTTCTGGATTTTCCACCGCTTTGATGCAGTTTCTCCCAAACCTGGTTTGAGACTGTGTTTTTCACAATATTGCAATTAAAGGAAGGTGCATTGACACCATACTCACATTGGCACCATTTTTCTTGCTTCAGCCCCCCCTGACTGCCAGTCCACCTGACACTGGAGGGTTTCCTCAGGCTTTTTAAAAATGTGATCCAGGAAAATGTGTGGACGACAAGAAGGAATAGGGACTTGCTTTTATTTTTTAAAAAAAAATTATCAGGAAGTCAGAGGAGCTAGTAGACCAGGGCTCCCCAACGTGGTGTCCACGGGTGCCATAACACCCGACGACATCTTTCCTGGTGCCCGCCAAGCACTTTTAGAAACTGGGCAGGGCTAGGTGCAGCTTTTTCCCAACACAGCTTCTGATTGGCTGTGCATTCTGTTAAACAGAGCGTCTGCCTGAAATGTTGAAGAGTTAATATTGGGTTTGTATATAACCTTGATCCCTGGCATTTTGTGGTTGGCTCTGCCTCCAGCAGCAGCCTTTTTTATTATTTCTTTGAATTCCAAAGGTGACCGCTGGCTCAGAAAGTTTGGAGACCCCTATAGCTCTCAGTATTGTGCTAGCAATTACTGATTTTTAAAAACACATCATCAGAATCTCTCTGATAGCGTGTAGTGGAAATTATGTTTGCGGGGGGGCTGTGGCAGGCAAGTGCAGGGAAAATTGCCGTTAGGTGTGTTGTCGTCACTGTAAGAGCTATCCAGAGAATTGTTGCTGTGTGGAAGTAGCCTACATTTCTTAACTTCTTTTTTGCTGCTTCTGCTGTATTGAAATGGCTCTGTCAAATGCTTAGCATGTTAAGAGCTGCATTGGCAGATGATGACACAGAACCAAAGAATGATCCATCTACCAGTTGACCCACTTTTTTCATTCCTTTGTCAAAACTGGTATTCCTATTTTTGGCATCAGGTTAGTAAGGTTTTCAGAAAACTGTGCAACCTTATTTCAAAATAAAGAGAATACAGTAAACACACGTGACGGATTTCTGTATAAAGAGCCTATGTAGTGATACAACAGGGTTTTTTTGCTTGATAGGATTGTGAGTCATAGTCTCTTTTGATGGTTATAGCAAAGGAAAGCAAGCATTGAACTGAAAGGAAGGAGTTTAAAAACTGTTGAGATCAGGATAGCAAACAGTCTTGTTGACTGCAAACAATAGAAAACTATAGCAGCAATTATTCACCGGCTATTCAGTAATACTGCAGGTAATGAAAATCATTGTACTACTATCAGTGGATGTAATGCAGAGAAAATTAAACTCTCTTAAATATTTAAGATGACCTAAATGGCCCAGGCTAACCCATTCTTGTAAATTCTGGGAAGCTAAGCAGGGTCATCACTGGTTAGAATTTGGACGGGACACTAACAAGGAAGTTCAGAGTCACTATGCAGAGGCAAGCAATGACAAACCACCTCTGAATGTCTCTTGCCTCGATAGCCCTACGGGGCCACCATAAATTGGCTACAACTTGGTGGTGCTTTCCTCCACCACTAAGTAGTTATCAGTCTTTTCTGTGGGTTACATTAAGATTACATTTTAAATCTAGAAAATTTGGTATGGGTCATTGGAATGTGAATTTCTAATAGAACTAATGTGTTTAAATTGCAACTGTACTATTTTGAAATGGAAACTATTTTAAAGCCCATCTACAGATTCACCCTTTGTTTTTGTTTGTATATATGTGGGCACTCAGCAAGGCTTAAAAAAACAACCCAAACAACCTCAGATTTCTGTGTTGCTTCTTATTGCCAGACTGTAAAAGCAGGTCAAGAGACATTGCTTATGACAGTTATGGCACCAAGGCGTTTTTGTGCAAGCTTGAGGGGAAACGGCTGAGTGTTTTGAAGTCTTGAGAACAGCTGTTTTGTTTATAAGGATAAACTGAAAGACTGATGGCAGCATATCTATGCCACTCTGAGCTCCTAGGAGGAAAGATGATATAAAAAAACCTCATTAGATATTTGCATATTTAGAAAGTTCATAGAACTGTATTTCAGAGCTTTCTGGGCATATTCTTTGTGTGGTACTTTCATTTGTGTTTTTCATTCATTGTGGCTGTGGTTTTTTTTAATGATCAAACAAAATTTAGAAGTTGCATTGAATTTTAATCTGAGACCACTGACCTACAGATTTCAGTAACATAATTTTTAAAAGTTTTTTTTCCCTAACTGGTTGTTTCTTGTTTGTATAGTTGATGGGATAGATAAAGCATCAATTGGAAATTCAGATGGGCCAACCTCCGGGTCCCGAACTCCTCCTTTCAAGAGAAAGGGCAAACTTTCCAGCATTGGCAAAATCTTCAAACCGTGGAAATGGCGGAAGAAAAAGACAAGTGAAACATTTAGAGAAACATCAGCAGGTATGGTTATTCAAACTAACAAATATTACTCAGTTATGCCTGGAAAGTATTAATATTGCTCAGTTGTTAAGAGCATTGGCCCCAGTCCAAACAACCATGCAGTTAGCTCTTTATGCCAAATATCATAAGAGTGATTTTTCTCTCTGTTTCGAATCTTTTTAATGTTTTCCCTGATTATCCTTTGGAAGTTGTTGATTTTATCAGTTTTCCCTGAACCTGTTTTGTCAAAAATTGCCTGATACAATGTTTAATCAAAGTAGAGAGATTGAGGTGGTAACGATCAAACTAGAGGTGAATGCTTCTTTTTCCAGTTGATTTCCTAATTCATATCAAGTATAGGGAGTAACAGAGGAAGTCAGTAGTAACAGTAGTCAATATTGGCTGGTAACAGCAGCAGGAAAAATTCTGTTGTTGAACCTCATTTCTTTATGAAGCAGCTAGCAACCTCTCAGTTTCAATATTGTGGCTCCACCACTGTGTCACTTATTTTGTGGTCCTTTACTCATAGGAAAACAAGAAAAATGTAGTATGCTAATGAGCTACTAGGCTATTAGCATATGCCAGAAGGGGAAGCAAAAGGGGGGGAGGCATCTTCAAAAGCCTCCCCTTCCCTTCCCCAGCTGGCCGGGGGGGGGGAGCAAAGAGAGAAGGGGTTTAACGTTTAAACCCTTTCTCAGTAGAGTTGGGCCACAGAAGGAGGAGAGAAGGAAAGAGAAGGAAAGGAAGAAAAGAAGGAAGGAAAGAGGGGATAAAAAGAGAGAATGAAAGAGGGAAAGAAAGAAGGAAGGAGAGAGAGAGAGAGAGAAGGGAAGAAGAAGGGAAAGAAAGAAAGAGAGAAAGAAAGAGAGAAGGGAAGAAGAAGGGAAAGGAAGAGAAGAGAAAGAGAGAAAGGAAAGGAGGGAAAGATGGCAAAGAGATGGAGGGAGGGAGGCTCTCCCACCACCCCCCATCAAGCCCCTGCCATCCCCACCCCCGCGAATCCCTTAGTTACTGCTTCGGCAGGGGGGGCCAAGCCGCAGCGCTTCTGCGCGTGCCTGGGGGACCTGGCGGCGGGGCTCTCCACCCCCTTTGGGTCGCAGCGCTTTCGGCGTGGGGAGCTAGGGGCGGGGCTTGCTGCCGCCGCCATTTGCATGGACTCCTGGGCTGCCGGAGCGGTGCTCCGGTGCGCTCTGGCCCCAAAAGACTCCTGGATGACTATCAAAGTCTTACATCTCAGGTTTACAGTCTGCAATACAACAGCTGGGGCAAGTGCAAACCTCTGGATGGACCAATTGGAATTCTCTTCATTGTGGCTTCTGTAAAGTACTTTAGACTACCTGTATTCATATTGATGCTCTGATGCAAGCTATCTTTATATCCAACTTCTGTTTAATTAATATATTTAAAATTGTTTGAAACCACTAATGGGAAGGGTTGCTAGGTCCCTTTTAGACTCCGGCGGGGGGTGGGGGATGTTCTGGGATCCGAAAGTGTCACCCCTGATGTGCCGACGTCACCAGAAGTGACGTAGGCACATGGGTGGGGGGAACGCTCTGGCTTGTGGGCAAAATTCTATGGTAACATTGCCCTCAAACCATAGAGTTGTGCCCAAAAAACAGAGTGTCTCCCCCCCCCGACATGCACTCCTTATAGCACTTTCCTTTGAGTTGGTCCCATTGAGTAGGCTTAGGATGGCATAGTTAGTTGTGTTGCTCTGTTACATTGAACATGTGGCTCCTAAAACTTTGATGTGGTTCAGAATTTTGGTCATGGCCCTACAAGAGTCATCCCTGTCCCAGCTTTCCCATTGCAATGACAAATTAACTGGGATAGGCCTAACAAAACAGGTATTACTTAAGCAGAAGAAGCACATAGAAATTCTTACTCAAATTACAGGGATTTCAACAAAGGACATTGATTTATGATTCCTTATTAAACATGGATACAGAGAGCGAATGAAATTTAACCCTCTGACAACCCTGTAAAAATGTATGCATTTTGTATTCCAGGATATACTTCAAGGCCAAATTCCACTGAACTGGAGTAGAAAAGTCCCCACAAAAATGTTTGTGGTTGCAAATGCAATTAAGTAAAACACACTTGGACATTAGGCAGAATGTTTCTCTTGTGCAGATACAGCCCTCCCCCTGTGCATGTTGCAGAATTCACACCAGTATCAACAAACCCTATAGTTGGAAACTAAGATGTTAGGCAACTAGCATAAACTTCCATGAATTTGAAAAGAAAATATCTGAAATTAATTATTTGTAGCATTTTGTATTTCTCTCTCTGTCTTTCTCTGTCTCTCTCACTCTCTGTCTCTCTCTCTCTCTGTTTGTGTGGTAACTGTTCTCCAGGTTATCAGGAAGGGTCATCAGGTTGTCATGAAAGGCTCCAGGGTACTTAGAAAGGGTTCCCTGGATCAATGTTTTCTTAATAAATTTATGCTGTGATTTTTTACCGTGATATTTTAAGTGGGCTTAGGATAAAAATATTCCGATGGGACTTTGATTTCTGCAGTTGTTTTGGACCCCAGGTGCTTCTTTGTTTTATTTTGTGCAACACCTAGTGCTTTTCTCCCTATCATATATCTCATAGTCAAGTGTGGGCTTCTTTGTTTTATTTTGTGCAACACCTAGTGCTTTTCTCCCTATCATATATCTCATAGTCAAGTGTGGGCTAGGGTTGCCAGACCCCCTGGTGGAGGCAGGGTTCCCTGCTGCCAGGCCCCTCTCCCCACCACCAATCAGCTAGCTGATGGGGGGATCTTACCCTGCAAAAGAGGGAGATCTATCTGATGTGCAGTGATATGTCCACGTCACTGTCCACATGACCCAGAAGTGATGTCATCACATCCAGTATATCGGGCAAAACTGGTATTTGGGGGGAAACTCTGTGGTAGATGTCAAATTTACCATAGAGTTTTCCCCCAAATACCCGATGTAATTATGTCACTTGCAGGTCATGTGGGCAGTGATATGGACATGTCGCAGTACGTCAGATGGGCCTCTGTGCTGCTCCTAGTAAGCCCCCCATCCCCCGCCAGTTGCCAGGAAGAACCTGGTAACTCTGGTATAATACCAACTGCAGATACTTAAATCTTAAATCTGTGGATTAGGCCCACACTGACAGAAAACAAATAGTTCTGCAAACTTGGGGGACTGCCCAGGTTTGTAGAAAAATCTGAAAACATGGTGGGCCCAGGTAGCAGAGTGGGCCCAGTGACAGAGACTGGGAGCTGTGCTGGGCTCTGAGGCAATGAGGGGGAGGGAAGGAGCTACGGCACACCTGGCAGCAGTGACAGGGGAGAAAGAAAGCTAATAGGGGGAAGGGATCTGTGGTTCCCCCTTGTATATTATAATGCCCAGAAATTGGTTGTACAATATTATGCACAAGCAGAAACACAATTGAAGTTACAGTGTTTGACTTAACACAAGCAGCAACCGGCCAACCGTGTATTTTTCGCTGTATTTTTTACTTGTGCAAGAGCTCTAGCACAAGTGGAAATTTTGCTTTGCATCCAACCTATTGTCTATTATTATACAGGTGACATTTTCCTACGAGGACGAAGTTGTATAATTTCTTCTCTATGCATTTTGCCATCAAGCTTGGACAGTCAGTTAAATGAGAAATGGATTTTGACAAAAAATAAAAATAATTCAACTGTGTGGTAATATAAAACTATTGTACTGTGGCCAGGAACATTTTTTCTAAGTGGATTTAAAAAAAATAAATGGATCTATCGTTTTCCATTATAGACCCTTTCCTAATAATAGTAAAATCAATATGAATAACTTTTGAAGCTCTGAAAATAATTCTGCCTAGATGGTAAATCATGATAGAAGCATCGCAGTTCCTGGAAACATTTCTGTAAAGTAGGCAGGCATTGTTTTTGGGGTTTTTTGCACCGTTGATGGTCAGTGGCGGTTACTTTAAAAGTCATTTTCAGAATCTACTTACATGGTATTTTTCCATCATGTGAAAACTAGATGCCTCATCTTTCAGTAGGTTGCTTTCATGCTTTAACTGTAGAAATCTCAGGGCAGAAAGGTAAATGGAAGATGTTCCCAAGAAAACATTTTAGAAATTTTCAGGATTTTTTCCTTAGAGAAAGTGTCTCTAATTGTCTATACGAATCCGTGTTATATTTCAGGGGTCTCAAACTCATAATTCTGGAGATAAGAGCCTGACACAAAGTGTAGGTCTTTAGGGCTGGGCTACTTTTATTTAGCCTTTTTTTTTTTCTTGGCTGGGGAAAAAGATATTTGAGGTGTATTGATACATTTTACTGAGGACACTTGAGATGCGCCCAGTTAGCTGTTGCATACAGAAGAATCTAAAAAGAAAACCCATGTAAAACCTTTTATTAAGACCAACCAAAATACCAAAAGTTCTTGAGTTTGCCAGCACTCTTCTGACAATCAGCCTGATAAAGAGTTGTGGAGGATTTGCAAGCTTCCACACTTCGCTATTTTGATGGTCTTAATGTATAGAAATATTGATTTCTAAAAGTTTCATGCCTTCTCCTGTGATGACATTCTGTGTCTCTGTTTCCTGTTGCAGGCCAAATGGTCCAGGGCAGACCAAATGGCCTGAACAACTTCAATAGCCATGCCATATAACCACACATTCTTTAACACCTCTAAGTGGAAGAGCCAGACTTCAAGGCACCTGCTTTAAGGCTACATGGGCCATGTCACGTACATCATGGAGAAGCTGGAAGCTGGGTCACCTGACTGTAGGAGGGGCCTCCAAACTTCTAGTCTATCCCCACACGCAGCTATGGCAACCAACAATTGGCCACACACCCCTGCTGCTCGTGATTGGCTGAATGGCCACAGCTGATCATGAATGGAATTGGGGTATAATTGTTTGGATCCCTATGGGAATGAGCTTCTTGCTCTTGCTCTGCTCTTAGCTCTCCCTTCTTGTCATTGTCTGTTTATTGCACCTGGAAATGTTGTCTCTTGGAAGACAAAGAGCTGCTTTGTGAACTGGAGCACATGGGTGCAAGGATGGGA